GAGAATGTGTGGAGGTAATTTAGCGAGCTGCACGCCCAACTGAAGTAAATCCGTGTCGCTTTCAATCAATCTTGACAAAGAAAGTCACTTATTCACAAGAGCTGAATGAAGAAATTCACCACAATGTGAGAGACTGCGTGAGTAAAAAGTTGGGCTCTTAGGGCCCCACAGCCAGTAGGGGGCCCCAAGAGCAATCAAAAAAATTTTTAAAATATTTTTATTTTTTGCATGTACCAGTGATGCTTTCTGTATGATCAAATATATATTATTGTAAAAATAAAGTAAAAACATTTTCGTGCTGCTGCCCATTGCGCAATGCAACGTCGAAATGACATCTATTTAACAGATTTTTTTGACAAGAGGTACAAATCTGGACGCCATTTCAACGTCTGAAAGAGGTCCAATAATGACGTCTAAATCTTGGATCCATTTTGCATGTTGTGCCGACATCAAGATTTGGTCTTCAGATGACGTCTTAATTCTAAACGTCAGAGCGACCTCTAAAAAAGGCCTTTGGCGAAACATCCCAAGTAAGTTTTAAACAATATCTCCAGGTTTAGGGGCAACATCTGCGTCCATCCAGACAAAGACTTTTTCAAGGAAGACCTTCATATGAGCCTGAACCATATTCTGATAACAGGGATTACAACAGCATGGCTCTGTAGGAGAAGAGTCCAGGTACCAGAGCGGTCTACCTCCAGGAACTGGTCTCCTGGCTCACTAACATTCATAGAGTGTTGGTGAAAGAAGAGCTGATGATACACAGCAGTAAACATGATCCTCTCCTAACTTTTTAAAACATGTGGCTGCCTTACGTAAATAATGAATAAAACCATCAGAGTCTGTTTATACTAATTTTTCTTTCGAAGCGTCTCAACTCTTAGGAAACTGGGGTTTGTTATTCAGATGTAAGATAGAGGAACTAAAAGCGACCTTGAGTCACCTCTTAAGTTGGAGTTTTCATTGGGATGAGTGGCGCAGCAGCAGTCTGCAGCCTCACGTTGCTGCTTGCTGACTAAACCCCCTCCTTCAGTCAGAGTCACGGTGACCTCAGTAAGTAGCTCAAACACTCATCTGCTTTCACGGCAGAGAAACATCCCGTCACACTGAAGCCCCTCTCTGTGTTTGAGTCAACGTCTGATGAATTTCTAAGTAAGAGGAGAGTCATGATCAGCAGCACAGGTTTGTTTTTCTCACCCATCAGGAGGGCTTTGGTTTGGGTGAGTTAGTTTAGTTTGCAGGGTTTCTAACGAAAGGTATGAGGAAGATTACTGTTTCATAATTAAAGACGTTTACAGTGAGTTACTGTAAACAACCAGGCAATCGACCAACGACTGTTGGACGGGATTTTAAACAATGAGATGCCGAAATGTGGGATTTTGGAATAAATTTTAAAACATAAAGAAATATGTCGAAGATACGATGACAGCTACCAGCTAATAGCAGACAAATAAGAGTTAATACTGGGTTTAGATATGCTCGTTACTGCCCCCTATGATCAATTAAGTGTGGTTGTGAAATGAAGTTTGGAGCACAAAAAAGTTGTTGCCTCTGCAAGGATTAATGATGGATAGCTGTATCTTTAACATGTTGTGCGACAGCGGTCCAAACCATCAGGCAGCAGCTACAGGTGGAGAGAGGAGAGCGGGGAGCGGAGCAGGAGGAGGCAGGTGTCCGTATTAGAGGATGACATGGGAGTCATTTTTTAATTCATCCCGTGATCAGGACGCGACTGGAAAAAAAAGCAACGGGAGCAGGAACAACATTAAAAAATGATTATTTTCAGCCGTGTTAAACAACCAGATGAACAGATGCGTCCATTTTTGTAGTCATCTCTCAGTGAGAGCCAACACTCTTGACCTCACTAGCAACACAAAAGAACTACAACAGTGGTTTGACTTCCTGTCACCACCGGAAGTGAAAAGCGACTCGGAGTGGCTGCTGGTGTCGCCGGGAGCGACTGCCGCTCCGACTCGGCTGCCACTTTTACCTAAAATCTTTTATTTTAGTGCACTGCATATTAAATAAAAAATGCAGCGTGTTTTCAACATGTTTGGTTTTATTTAAACGGGAGCGGGACAGGAGTGGGAGTAATTTTGAGTGGGAGCGGGATGGGAGTGGGAGTCATTCTACAGGAGTGGGACAGGACAGGATTAATTTTTTTACTCTGGTCTGGGATTGAGACGGGACGGGATTTTTTCTCTGGGAGTGAGAGCGGGACAGGAGTGAAAATCTGCTCCTGTGTCATGCTCTAGTCCGTATGCATGTGTGCCTGAAAAGCAGCGGGACAGAGAGAGCTCAACAAGAGAGCTCTGAATCCGACCAAAGTATTTTTAAGAGGATTAAATTCTCCTACATGAGTTTGACGTAAAAGTCAAATCATGGGTAACCATTTCTAACAATTGTGGGATCAGTAACAGTCAAAGTGATCATGATTATAAGTTTTGCTAACTACACTACATCAAAGCTACTCCCCAAAGAAATGTAGTGAGCTTACCTGCAGGGAGGAGACCGTGCCTAATAACAGCATCAGAAAGGTTCCTGGATCATCAGACGTAGATGTTCAGGTCAGTCTGTTGACCTCAGGATGGTGGACATGGCAGCTGGAGGAGCTGCATCCTACTGACTCAAAAATTGCTGAATCATTTGCAGTTTTACAGTTTGTGGTATGCAGAGTGTGAACGAAAACATTGTTGAAATTTTATTTGAATATGGACCACAGAGAGCTGTTGCCAAGGCAGTCCTAATAAAAAACAAACAAACATGATAGCCCGTTAAATCTGCAGGTGGTCCCAACAAAAACATGCAGATACATTAACATCCACATGGTAGATCAACTGTGGTCCCACAAGATGGTTTCTCTATAAAACTTTATCTGATCGCCCTGCCAGACATGCTGGTTTACAGCCTGAAGCTCCTGGGGGATCCATCGGGACACCTGGAGCTGACATTACAGACTCAGGTAGAGCGAGCCTCATTAGGTCAGAACAGATCCTGGTGTTATGGTGTAAACATGTTGACGCAGTTTTAGTTACAGTTAGTTATATTCACACTGAACTCTTTAAAAAGCTCCAACTCTGCAGTTCGTTCTGGTCACACTCGTCTGCAGTGGAGACGCCTGAATGAAGCCCTTTTGTGCGAGCTGTGTGATTGGGTTAGATGTGCTATTTGAGACTCGGTTTCATAAAGTGGTTACTCGGGTCACACTGACAGGAAATGTGAATAGCTTCGGTCTTGTGGAGAAAACCAAGAACCAGATCTGCGACTCTGAGATTACCATTTAAAAGGGCAGAGGCCTCATTCATAAAACAGTCCACAGAACCCAGACTGGAAATGAGCATTGGACAAAAACCAACAAAAATAATTCTCATCTATCTTGGTGATTCTGCACAGTGTTCATGATTATTAGTTGAGACTAAAGCCGAAAACATACAGGATCCGTATTGAGCGTGGATCTGTATTTGCTCCGTAGAGCAGCGTTGGGTTTCACATACAGGATCAGGGTATTTGGAGCGTAGCAGCAGCGTAGTGCAGCCCCGGTCAGAAACAACACGCTCACAACAGGTTGTTTTTCCTTTCTGTGGTCGATTTCCTGATAATTTGGATATAATTCAGTGACTGTTGAGCCTCTACTGTCTGTGAAAAAGCTTTACGTGATTTTACAGTGTTGGTTTTTGCAGGTTTCCTGGTGTTTAATAAAGTAAACTCTGTTCCTTTATGCTGTGCTGTTTCCTTCAGACAGAGTTAGCAGGTCAAAGTCCTGTTGGGGTCTCATTTATCTCTCTTAATTGTTTTATTCCTCTTTCATTTTTCATTTATTTTAGTTTAAAAACTTCAGGTGAGAGAAGTGGGGTGGAGCTCAACCTCACTCTCTGGTTATGACACTAGGGGGCGCTCTTTTCCCCTGACGGCTGAGTCAAAGAAAACAGTGGAGTCAACAGAGTGAATCATGATCGGTTACATCACCGCAGGATAAAATGTGTTCCTGTCCGCTTTATGATTATCATGTGACCCCCTGAGGTCAAAGGTCAGCGCTGAAGCTGGTTCTTCAGAAAATTTTAGTGCGTATCATCCATCAGACGTGCAGAGCACTTAGAGCAGAGGACACACATCTGTTCACACTTAGCACTGAGCGTCTGTGTGTGTGTGTGTGTGTGTGTGTGTGTGTGTGTGTGTGTGTGCACGTACGTTATGAATGAAAGAACTGAATGTGACTGGAACATGTGCATCGTGGAGAACAAGCCAAACACATGAAAGCAGCCCCCATCGTTCTCACTCTGATAATCCCGAGGGGAATGTGGACGTTCACAGCGAGTGCGGGCTCGTTGTTGAAAACTTGTGAACTCAGACGACTTTTCGAAACCGACGCCAACTTTGAGTCTAAAAATAAAAAGTTCTGTTCTTTGTCTCGTATCCTTAAAGTAAACACACCCGCCGTAGCTCCACTGCAGCTTGTAATCCAACAGGTTTGTTTACAACAGCGTCGATGATCCTCAGTCTCAGTCAATTGATATTCAGGCAATTAATCTGTTTATACATCTACATAAAAGCAACACAATCTGACGAAGACTTAATTAAATACATTTGTGCCGTGTTAAAGAGTCCTGTGGGAAATTATGTACAAGAAAAAACACTAAGAGCCAGTGAGGTTTGCAGATGTGCCTGCGCCAAAGTCCAATTAGAGAGAAAATCGTTGGAAAGTGCAAAAGTGCAAACAAAATAAAACACAGGGACAGAGTTTGTTTTGCAAGCACAAAGCATTTTGGCGTGCAGTCCAAGTGTCATCGTTGTTTTTCCACAATGCACTTGTAGTTTTTATGCACCCACATCAGCACCCGGTCAGTGAGGTGTGGTCAGGTGTAACGGTGGCGTGTTGTAATCCTGAGGAAGCTGAGATCGTCGGTGCGTTAAAGGTGAGGTAGTCAAGATCAAACAAACAACCTGCATGAGCAAGGAGAAAAAGTCGGTCTAGGTAAATAAGCCAAGAAAAGACCAAGGCCATGACCGTCGCTCAACATCAACACCTTCCACCGCTCACCATCGGCGGACAAGACATAGAGCACGTCAAGAACTTCACATACCTCAGAAACAACATCTCAAATACTGGAGACGTGGAGGAAGACGTACAGACCAGAACTGGCAAAGCTGCAGGAGTCTTCCAACGACTCTGGAACATCTGGTCATCAAAATCCATCACCACGGCCACAAAGCTACGCCTCTATGTGTCAGTGGTCATCCCTACAGCGACCTACGCCTGTGAGACGTGGATGAAGACAGCCAGCATCACCAACAAGCTGGATGTCTTCCATCGTCTGTGCCTCAGATCCATCCTGAAGATCTCATGGAGAGACCACATCACCAATGAAGAGGTGATGAGAAGGGCAGGTGTAGCACCTTTGTCTGACATCGTCTCTGACAGGAGAAAGAGAAAGACCGGACATGGAATCCAACTGCCAAGAGAGAGAGAGACCGGCAAGTGTGGAAATAGAGGGAGGCCAAAGAAGACATGGAGACAAACAGCCAAGTAAGACCTGAGCGAGATGGGAGTCAGCTGGTATGGAGCAAGAAGGGTCGCTAAGAAGGGACCGGAGCAAACGGAGGGACTTGTCGCCCAATGTTCCAATAAAAACGGGAGGAACTAAGTCTAAGTCAGGATCTGAGTTAGTTCCAGTTTTTAGGAGAAATCTTGAATGTAAACTCTACCCCTCACAACCAGTTTTCCCCTCAGCTCCTCCTCTCCCCTCAAGCCCCGCCCACAAACAGACGCTCCTGCTCGCTCGTATCGTTCCGATTAAATTCAGATATAATGCAGATAAATACTTCAGATCATTACAAATGGGGCCCAGTCAAGGTGAAAGTCAAAAGCATTGGTGCTACTGTAGATGCCAACAGACTACCAGCAAACACAATGTTTGCAGGACTTCTACAACGAGGATAAAGTGACATAGTCCAGGACCCGAGGGAGGACAGTTTATTTATTTTTTTCCTGGTTTTATCTGAGTCTATTTTCTTTGTGTATTTTCTCTAGTGTTTTTCAGTGTTTATTTCCTGTTTTATTTTGTAGGAGTCGATTCCTTGTGTTTCTAGTCTGGTTTTCCTTCCCTAGTTTTCTCTCCTTTGTTAATCGCTCATCAGTCTCACCTGTTGCTCGTTGTTTCCCAGTGTGTTTATAGTCCCTGTCTTCCGCTCTGTCTGGTTGGCTCATTGTTTATGTGTGTATGTATGTAAATGTTTTTCCAGTTCTTATAATCTCCTACTCTAAATGCTGCAACCATCAGCCACAGATATTATGAGACGACAAATGCAGTGCAGAAAAAACATGTGACCCCTGTATGACCTTTGAGTATCTTCTGGTTTTAAGAGGAACAGAGGAGGCGAAGAGTTAAATGAGTCAGTCGAAAGGCTGAAATCTGCGGTGGAAGTTGTTACACAACTGCAAACACTCCTGTCAGATATACATGTTAGACATCATTCCTTTCTTTCGGCCCTCTACTGGAAAATGACGCCCAAAATAACCAGAAACTGGGATTACCGAGGTCCACAAGAAGAAAAGAGAAGACCTACATGTCCTCCCTCTGCTGCTGCCTCTTTGTGTCTTCTTGAGGACGCACACTGAGGGAACATCTTGATCATTCTCATGTCTCGTTACAGTGGTGCAGAAGTTCCTCGTGGATTTGCCAAACAGTGAATAAAAGTCTGAGGGAAGAGGTAAACTCCACAACAGAAATGCTGCGGGTAACGAAACCACGAGCAGAAGAAAAGTCCCTCAGAGCTTCTCGTCTGTGCGTGTAAACGGGCTAATGTGCTTTTAATGGTTTTAATGGTTTACGTGTAGAGCCAAAGAACAAGCTGCAGTGTGAATGTTAACACACACACACACACCTGTATGACATGAGAACCAGGTCTGACCCACCCCCCCTCAGATCCTGGTCCTTCAGATGTGGTTGTTCTGGGAGTCTGTTCTGCTCCTGGTTGTTCTGTGTCACTTCCTGACAGTAATCTGCAGCTCAGCTGTGTCCTCGCTTTGATTTTCTCTTACTGGAAGTCTTTCTGGGTTTGTCTCGGGGGGTTTTCTGCCCGAAACCTGCTGATAATCATCGAACCTCTGCACCTAAAAAAACGTGTACGTGTTAATGTACATGATTCATGCGATCGAGCGCCTGCTGCAGTTTCACAGGCTTTGTAGTGTTTTCTGGAACAGTGACTCTCATGTACGCTTCATTTAGTCCGTCTGTCATTGTTGTTGTTTTTTCAACAGAGAAATGTTTCTCATCATCACTTTTTTATTTGTATTTCTGTGAGAATAACCAAGATTACTTCAAAAGGATTAATTCATCTTTGAGAAAATCAGCCTGGAATAACTCGCCTGACTTTTTACATCATTTCAGATCGAAGCAAAAAAAAGATTACAGTCGCTTTTTCGCTCTGCAGAAGATCGTAAACGGTTTGGAAGCTTGTGAATTATTCTCTTCGCAAATTGGCCCCGGTGTGTAATGACCTTTAGTCTCTCTGAATGTCCTTTTCCACCAACCTGTTGCAAATTAACCTCCTCAGTTAAGAGTTTCGGTGGTTGTGGTTTCTGGATTAAATGAGCGGTTATTTTTTTGTCCTCTTTGCTCCATTTCTTAATTAAATATTGGCGTATAAATAATTTGCGAACCATCTAAATCTGTCTACAATCAACATTTTACAGCGCGCCAGCTTTTTTAAATTAGTTTGTACACATTGTGCCTTTTCATCAGAATCCAATAGACAGTGGAGTGGAAACAGATCTGAAAAAGTCCCACAGCTCTCATGATTTCACGCTCCGTGTTTGTTTTGACCCAAAAACGTTGAAAAAACCGACTTACATTAAGTCTATTAGGTGAAATCTGTGGTGTAAGTCGTTACCATAATTTTCCAGCTCATTTGAACCCTATCCACTTCTCATAGATAATGAATGAAAGCTGTTCCTGTGAACTGTAATCAACCGTAAGCCTTCAGTCTTAAAAATAGAAACAGGCAATAATGATTGAAAGAGCTGAGGCCGAGTGAACCGCTCCGTTTCGTAGATTCATTAACGGCAGTTTCACAACCAGGAAAAAGTCCAAACTTGTCCTGAAAACCTAAACAAGAATCCAGATGAGAAGATAAGTTTCTATTTCTGCTGAAAGTTTCCCAGCAGGAGCCGAGTATCAAACCCGATGATCGGATAAGAAGAGCATCAGGTTCAGATCTGTCTGCAGATGAGGGTGGACTGACAACAGTTCATGTAAGGTGACTCTCAGCTACACACACGTAAAAACACACCTGTGGGGCTTCATCCCACATTCAGTCTTGAACACTTTTCAATCAGATGCAAGTCAGAGACTCACAGAGGTTCAAATATACTTTCCTGAAAGTAAGCTTCTTTTTAATCCTGTTTAATACACTCCTGATCAAAATCTTAAGGCCAGTTAAAAAATTGCAAGAATTTATATTTAACACTTAAGACGGTTCTTAGTCGAGCTTCAAAGTGCAAAAAGAAGAAATGGGAACAAGAGACCAAAAGTTTTGAGCAGGAAATTTATTGAAAACAACAATTTAACTGAAATAGTCTGTTCATCAAAAGTTTAAGACCACAGCCTTTAAAAGCTTAAATCTGAGTGAAAATTTGGATTCCATGTCATGTCTTGTCAAGCAGTCACACTGACAACATCTCTTGATGGCAAAAAAAGCTCACTGCCTTTGAACGTGGTAGGATTGTTGAGCTGCATAAACGAGGCGTCTCACAACGTGCTGGACGCAGTAAGACAGTCGTTTCTCATTTCTTAAAAGATCCAGAGGGTTATGGAACAAAAAGATCAAGTGGTTGACCCCAAAAAATTCCGAATGTGTGTCCGTCAAGACGCGGGACGATCCTTGTCCCAAATTAAGGCCATGACAGGTGCCGACTGCAGCCCAATAACAATCAGACGACATCTGCGAAGGAAGGGCTTCAAAAACAAAAATGTCTTCAAAGGTCACGTCTCCTTCAACGCCAAAAAATTGACCGTTTGGACTTTGCAAGGGAGAAACATTCCCACTAGCCTTTTGGAAACACTTTTTTTAATTTTTAAGTAATCAACAATAATGGTGGAGCTTCTCATTACTGAGTCAGTTTTTGACACTTTGATTTCTGTTTTAGGCGGTGTTCAGGTTTATTGAGCTGTGGTCTTAAACTTTTGATCAGCTGATGATCAGACTATTTCAGTTAAATTGTTGTTTTCAATAAATTTCCTGCTCAAAACTTTTGGTCTCTTGTTCCCATTTCTTTTTTTTTTTTGCATTTTGAAGCTCTACTCAGAACCGTCTTAAGGTCCAACAGTGATAAATATAAATTCTTGCAATTTTTTAATTGGCCTTAAGATTTTGATCAGGAGTGTATTTAAAACTAGTCCTTTCCTGAAGCTCGGGTCGCTGTGTACAGTCATGATGAGTTTTATTCCAGAGAAATGAACCTTCACCGGTCTGATATTGACTCACATCGTCAGTGAATAACGGTGAGACACTTTGATTACTCACAGGAATACGCTGATGAAGCATCTGTTGTAACTCGGAGTCGTTCGAACATATAAACCGACATCGACCCTGTCAGTCAAGTCAGTCACACCCACTAATGTTAAATAATGTAAAACTTGCTTTCAGAAATGGAGCCGATGTGGTAGTCGGCCTCTAGTGGACTTTTGAAGAACTGCAGTTTTGCACTTTAACCACTCAAGTCAGTTTTGTTTGAATAAGAAAAGTCAAAACAGCGTAATAGACCTTTAAAAGTATCCAGACTTGGATGACTGGTCTCTAGTGGGTTGAATATTTAGGTCAGGAGGCGTCGTAATCACCTGCAGAGGGACTGGGAACTCGTGCTCAGGTTTGTATTTTCTGGTCATGTGATGCTTTGTTCTGAACAGTTGTACAATGAGCTTAGGGGGTGTTGTTATGAGTGTTTGGGTCACTTCTTTCTGCTTCATTAGATCCCCTCCTCCTCCTCCTCCTCCTCCTCCTCCTCCTCCTTACTCAGCTGAACATTTTGGAACAAGCAGCACATTATGATCAGGATTACGCTCTGTAAGACGTCAAAAAAAAAAAAAAATAGGCTCCTCGTGCAGACTCCTGATGACGGGTCAGAACATTTGGTTCAAACATTTATAGAGTCAGATCACCAAGTAACTGAACACAAACAATGACTCTGCACATAAAAAAGGCAGTTTGGTACTTAGACATTAAAAACTGTGATGCACACGCTCTCATGACCTTGAATTGTCTCGCTCTGTTGCTCTGACTAGGACTAAAAGAGTTCTTGCAACTGTGAAACTTTCATGTTTAAAATAGACAATCACTCAGATTCTGCAGCAGTGCAAGACTGAGAGCCGAGAGCATTTGTGGAGAGCTCACCTCTCCACAGATGCCAGCTGTGGCAGGCAGAGCATCAGCAAAGACCTTCAGTGTGCAGAGGAGAGCACGCATCAGTGACAATAGAGGCTGAAACATACAGGACGTGTAGCAGCTCTGTCGCAGCATCGTATCAAGAGCA